AACGGATCATCATCATGGCACACGGGTCATAACCTATAAGTGCTCTGTTCTTCTTCTAACTCAAGTCTGAGTCTGAAGAAGCTTAGCACAGAGCGCAGGCTCTGGAGCACCAGAAAGGATCCTGAAATACTTTGGATAGATTTGTAACTAAAAATGTTGCCCGTTAGGCTAAATTTTTCGATTTCTAACTGCCCAGAGATTTATTTTACGTACGAAAGAATACACACTGGCGTCCGATCTCACTACCCAGAGACCAGGGGGAATTACTGGAAGTCAAAGTCCACGTGAAAAAAAAAAAGTCATAGCCGTTACCGAGAATTAAGAACAGAACCTCCAGCACCCGAGGCAGACACCAAGCCACAAGACCACGCAGCCCAGACATACAGTTTCACACAAACTGTAAAACTGCATCTGCCTCGTCGGCGCAGACACAGACAGACACAGGCACACACAGGCACACACACACACACACACACACACACACACACACACACAGGCACAGACACACACAAACTGCATCCTCCCAATTGCACACCGAGTCCACAACACACAATAAAATTGCACAGCACAAAACTGCACAGCACACAAAACAGAAGCACACACAACTGAAAGCTGCACAGCACAAAACTGCACAGCAAATGAAATGCCAAATTACAAAACTATCCACCCCTTGAAATGTTGCACTGTCCAGTGACCTGTGGATATCCCCTGTTTGTGGTCGGCTATTCAGAAATACCGCGACTACTACTTCTACCCCCCCCCCCCCCCCCCTCTCCCAGCTGAGTGCCAGGACTTCTGACAACGAGCGCACTGCAGAATGGTCGGAATCTAGTCATCCAGTGTCAGGGGTCGTCTGTTGTATAGTACTAGGCCAGGCAGCGATTCACCGACTAAGTTCTTGATTAACCAGTGGCTCACATTGTTCAAAATTCTGGTAGCGACTGTGATCTCACGTGAGAGCCTTTTCGGGTGTCGCTAACTAGGGTCATCGTTCTTGCTGTTTCAAACAGCGTGGCAATCACGCCGTCCCTGACCTTCCTGATGTGAGAAATGGTTTTCTTACCAAGCAGGAGCTCCAGTAGACTGGTTATTGTAATTGTTGTTGTGGCCAGCTTTGCCTGTCCTTCACTGGTCTATGTAAACGTTATCTTAGATTGGAGCTCCGCTGGTCTACTTGATGTGGCAGCTCTCTGCACTACGACAGGGGCTGCACCTGAGGTTGGCAGCGTCAGATTAGGTGATGGTGCCACGATCGGGATGGCATTGGGTGATGGCGCCACGAAAGGGGCGGTCCATGTGCTTGCGCCACGAAAGGGGCGGTCCGTGTGCTTGCGCCACGAAAGGGGCGGTCCGTGTGCTTGCGCCACGAAAGGGGCGGTCCGTGTGCTTGCGCCACGAAAGGGGTGGCTTCCTTCGATGCTGGTGGAGAAGCAGCAACACTGGCGTCCACGAGGCTGGGGTCAGACTTGCCCGGCATCTTCTTTGTCTTGGGTGCAGCGGCCTGAAACTGCAGTTTTAATTTTCCCATATCGAAAACAATCGCTGTAATTGGCGGCAATTGAACTATATACCGCACCTGTGGTTTCTGAGACAAATTTTACGAATACCTTGGACGGCAATAGTAACTAACAACGATTGCTTAAAAGAGGCTAATAAAAGTAGATCGCTATATACAACAATAAGAAAGAGACAAACACTGTTCTTTGGACATAAAATGAGAAGAGCGGCATTGGAGAATATCGTGACAACTGGAAAGATCAGTGGGAAAAGGGGTAGAGGCAGACCAAGAGAGATGATGCTGGATGGGCTAAAACGATGGCATGGAAGGATATCATCAAGAGAGCTGTTCCAGTCAACCAGGCATCGGGATCTGTGAAGACGCATGCAGGGCACATGATGATGACCGCAAATACAGGGTGCCCGAAATCCTAAGAAGGACAATCGAGTTATCGAGTTGCGGTAATCTAGTGACTTTTTCTAAGCTGGTCAATCGAGCTTCCAATACCCAGACTAGCGATAACCAAAATAACTAGTCAAGACTGGCCCTGCCGACAAGCAAGCGAATCTGTGTTAAGTATCTCGTTATCGAGATCCGGGCGACGAATGGATCGTTAGCGAGCGGGCGACGAAAGGTGCTGGCGATTGGCTTGTCAGCTCAAAAATGATAGATGACGATGAAGGTGGCTGGTAAGCTTGCTGGCTTAATGCTGACCATGTCAGTGATCAAGCTTCATTTCTCTGTACGTGTGCGTGTCTAGCTGCTTCGTTGTATCATGCATGTCTAGTTTCCATGTGATATTATGTATGTCTAGTTTCCATGTGAAATTATGTATGTCTAGTTTCCATGTGATATTATGTATGTCTAGTTTCCATGTGATATTATGTATGTCTAGTTTCCATGTGATATTATGTATGTCTAGTTTCCATGTGATGTGTGTCTAGTTTCCATGTGATATTATGTATGTTTAGTTTCCATGTGATGTGTGTCTAGTTTCCATGTGATATTATGTATGTCTAGTTTCCATGTGATATTATGTATGTCTAGTTTCCATGTGATGTGTGTCTAGTTTCCATGTGATATTATGTATGTTTAGTTTCCATGTGATGTGTGTCTAGTTTCCATGTGATATTATGTGTGTCTAGTTTCCATGTGATATTATGTGTGTCTAGTTTCCATGTGATATTATGTATGTCTAGTTTCCGTGTGATATTATGTGTGTCTAGTTTCCATGTGATATTATGTGTGTCTAGTTTCCATGTGATATTATGTGTGTCTAGTTTCCATGTGATATTATGTGTGTCTAGTTTCCATGTGATATTATGTGTGTCTAGTTTCCATGTGATATTATGTGTGTCTAGTTTCCATGTGATATTATGTGTGTCTAGTTCCTCAAGATATTCAACTGTGTTTTAATCACGAGGACTTCCTGGCTGAAATTTTCCCATAGCGGGCAGCTCACTGACGTTTTTATATTAATGGCATCGCAAGAGTGGCAAAAGGGATTATAATCCAACACACCATTCTCCACTTCCTTAGAAGTTACAGTTAGAACACGTCTCCTCCCTACTGTACCCTGATGTATAAAGAATAATTGTGAGCGGGGGGGGGGGGGGGTTAAATTATGATGCCCTATATTATCTTCTAGTGGGCGTTTTGCCAGTTCGACAACAGCTAGACAAACTGTACGTTGTATGGCCTTGCTGCAGTGTTCCCATTGCCAGTTCGACAACAGCTAGACAAACTGTACGTTGTATGGCCTTGCTGCATTGTTCCCATTGCCAGTTCGACAACAGCTAGACAAATTGTACGTTGTATGGCCTTGCTGCAGTGTTCCCATTGCCAGTTCGACAACAGCTAGACAAATTGTACGTTGTATGGCCTTGCTGCATTGTTCCCATTGCCAGAGATGTACTCCAATAATAATATATTGTATATGTTGTTCCGTGTGCTTTAGGTAAAAATAAACAACAATAAAGATTCAGCACCAAACAAAATTATGTATTGTTTTAACGGTGACAATTCACATAATGGAAAGTTAGCCTAAAAGGGAACAATTTTGTGGAAGCCAGTTAGCCTTAAAAAGAACAATTATGTGGAAGCCGGTTAGCCTTTAAGGGAACAATTATGTTGAAGCCGGTTAGCCTTTAAGGGAACAATTATGTGGAAGCCGGTTAGCCTTTAAGGGAACAATTATGTGGAAGCCGTTTAGCCGTTAAGGGAACAATTATGTGGAAGCCGTTTAGCCTTTAAGGGAACAATTATGTGGAAGCCGTTTAGCCTTTAAGGGAACAATTATGTGGAAGCCGGTTAGCCTTTCAATTAACAATTATGTGGACGCTAATACCAACGGGTAAAACACCATTGTTATCTACTTCTAGTAATCTGTATTCTTCTGGAAGGAAATCCCTCTCGGGTGTTATATAGCTATCAACTCATTTTGAAAAAAAAAAGGATTTTCATTTCTTAAATAACATTAAGGCACTATTACTTTGAGTACATTCTTCGTATTTGAAGGCTTCTCATCTAGTTAGCCATTAGGTTAACAACTATGTTGAAGCCAGTTAGCCTTTAAGTTAACAATTATGTGGAAGCTATTTAGCCATTAAGTTAACAATTATGTGGAAGCCATTTAGCCTTTAAGTTAACAATTATGTGGAAGCTATTTAGCCTTTAAGTTAACAATTATGTTGAAGCTATTTAGCCTTTAAGTTAACAATTATGTGGAAGCAATTTAGCCTTTAAGTTAACAATTATGTGGAAGTCAGTTAGCCTTTAAGTTAACAATTATGTGGAAGCAATTTAGCCTTTAAGTTACCAATTATGTGGAAGTCAGTTAGCCTTTAAGTTAACAATTATGTGAAAGCCAGTTAGCCTTTAAGTTAACAATTATGTGGAAGTCAGTTAGCTTTTAGGTTAACAATTATGTGGAAGCCAGTTAGCCATTAAGTTACAAAATAAATCGAAGCCGCTGAGGAGAGATCTCAGAGACAAATGATAAGAAGATAAAATGCGTAACTAAGATGGTTTGTAAGGAAATTATTTTATAAAGCGAACTAATTACATGCACTCTTCAATATGTGGTTATGTCGAGATATTGGAACATTGGGAGTATATTATGGAAATGAATAAATTAGAAGAGGAGAGGACGGCAGAGAGAGAGAGAGAGAGAGAGAGAGAGAGAGAGAGAGAGAGACAGGGAGAGAGAGAGAGAGAGAGAGAGAGAGAGAGAGAGAGAGAGAGAGAGAAGATGCCCAACTGTTCAGCATCGTGGCATGGTGAATCACCTGTGTCAGAGATGACTGAAAGTGCACGAGACGGAAGACTTTGGAAAGACATCACCACCAACGCCAAACGGCACGGGATATAAGAATAATAATATAAACGGCGGTGAAAATATCCTGATACCCTGTGAAAGAATCAACAGCTGCCTATGTGTGTCTCCATTTAGACTGTCAGTGTTCACTGTGTGCGCCAACAACCACACCCGAATGTCTTGTTATCATCCAAACAGACGGGAGAAAAAGTCTCCAACACGGCTCATAATACTTGAAGATGGCGGATCTATCAGCTTGGCTTCCATATCAAAGCAGCCTACTACTTTCTGTGTGTTGGTATCTGTGAAGCGCACGTTTGCTTGGTACTCGCCCTGGACACAAGAAGAAATTGTTTCATTATTTTGTTTTAGACAAGAAACATCTGGTGGAACATAGAAGGGAGGGAGGGGTATTGTTTGTGACACGAAACATATCAAATGGATTATGGTGAAAATATTGTATTTGTTTGCGACATGGAACATCTAGAGTAGAACATTGCATAAATAAAGAATTTGTGACCTGGAGCATCTAGAGTAGAACAATGTATAAAATAAAGAATGTCTTTGTGACATGAAAAATCTAGAGTAGAACATTGTATAAATAAAGAATGTGTTTGTGACATGAAACATATCAATGGTGAAAATATACTATTTGTTTGTGACATGAAAAATCTAGAGTAGAACATTGTATAAATAAAGAATGTCTTTGTGGCATGAAACATGTCAATGGTGAAAATATACTGTTTGTGACATGGAAAATCTCGAGTGGGACATAGTAAAAAAGGATTTGTGACACGCAACATATCAAGTGGGACATGGTGGAAATAAAGTATTTGTTTGGCTTATAAATAATCTGGTCTGGAGACAATCTTCCTTTCAGTTTTTCCAAATCTAAAATTAGTAGTCGGGGTCTTGCTCAACTTTATGATAAGTATTCCAAAACAATTTTGATTGCCTTGGCACCTTGAACTGTTTGATGTTTCACTTATAAAACTGTGTGTCCTTTTCTCGCTGACTGGATTTCAAGTAAAAAGTGAACTTCCTATCTGTTGATGGATTGCTGAAGCAGCATAAACCAACGACTGTGACCTTTCGCCTGATCGCCCACGTCATTGATTCCGCTCAGATTGTCCATTGTACATGTTGGCTAAGCCACCAAATGGAAATACATGAGACAAAACAACACCAATAAAACAAACAAATCATAATACTATACTAATACAATAAGAGACTTACCGCGAGGATGGGAAAATTGATACCAAAAAAGCTGCTGTCGACGCGGAAAGAATAGTGGGGCAAGGTGTAGGTTCCCGCGGGGATCGGACATGAGCAACTGATGTTCATTTCTTTGAAAATTCTAGGACATCCCTTTGTGGCCAGATTCTGGAGGTAACTGCAGACGTCTGGGTGGGTGCTAAATAACCAGAGGAGGCAAAAAGTTTATCATATTGGTATACATTCATGTGCATCAAGAGCATCATTATAGTCATTTGTATAAAATGATGCATGCGCGCGCCCACATACACACACACACACACACACACACACACACACACACACACACACACACACACACACACACACACACACACAAGTTACCTAAGACATGTTTGGAAGGAATTTTAAAGGCTTTAAATATGCAAATCAGACAAGAGATCAAGCAAGACAATGTATCCAATTTTATAAGAAAGCGCCGCTAGAACTAAATCATCCATGCACTCAGAATGGATGAGACAAGACTTCTTCTCCATCAAGTCCTCATGTGGACACCGGAAGGGAACAGAAAACGGGGAAGACCAAGAGAGACTCTACGTAGAACCATCATGAGAGAAGTCTTAACCATGAGCCTAACAAACATCACAGACCTAAAGCAGGTGGCAACGAACAGCCAGACAGGAAGAGCAAGACCTATGCCTGTGCGCCTCTCTAGGCCCAAGAGGAAAGACTAACAGAGGTGAGATAATCGGCTGCACCACACCACAGGCCTGCTACTGAAGTAGTCGTTGAAAGACGTTGTAGCTCTAATGTGACTCTCACGGTTCTCTGAAACGCATGCATTCGATGCCTGCGCGAGGGATTTTAAATAAAACCAACCTTTTAGAGCGCGGAGAAAGCTGAGAAAAGTGAAGACAAGGATGCTTCTAGCAAAGTGGCAAGCGTCACTGGAAAGATCACGGGTATTGAGCATACTTTGGATATTTGTCCCTGGTTATGCCGGCTTGGTGGGTAATGAACAGGCAGACAGATTGGCTGGATCTGCACCAATGGGTGGTGAACTGATGCATGGCAGGGCAGATGTTGTCAAGGCCCTTTGGGAACAAGTAACGGAATCAGCAGAGAAACGAGATTATTATGGCCTGAAGAGAATGAGGCACCTGAGTGTAACCAGAGGGTTTGGCCGCCGACTCACTACTCAGAGGAAAGGCGAAAAGGACCTATAACCAGACTGTGACCGGTAGCATCAGTATTGGAACTCTGCGCTGGTTGCTGAAGATAAGGACGGAGCAAACATGGGAAGCCCAGAGTGCTGTGGTGTCAGTTCTTGACTTAACTAACTAACTAACTAACTAGCGCGAAGTAAAAAGCTGAATTATTCCGTTCTGGTCAATCTCAGAACAGCGTTCTATCGGAGTATGCTCCGCAGCCAGTGAATGAAATGGGATGAAGACTAGTTCTAGCAAACCCA